AGGCTGCCTCCCCATGCGGCGTAAGATACGTACGCGCCACCGCCGCGTAACCTGCATATTCTAGTAATATGCCAAAACTTACGCCATTTAAAAAGTCGCCATGCACATGGAGCATATTTCGTAAAATTTTGCGTAAAGCGTAACAAGCTTAACCAATAAGAGATCAGGCCTTCTGTTGTACAACAGAGCAGAAATACTAAATGGATTCTCGATTGGTTGTTATTATTTAGATGTATTGCTAAATACGCGCCATGAAAATGGGGTACTTTGCATGTATGAATGTGTGGAAGCGCAATGTATGTAGTCGTATGCATGGTTAAGATTGCAATAAATAATAGCATAATCTGTTGTTAAACTCGGAGTCGTTACATTTAATCTTTTTCGTTGCCTACTGGAAATTTTGAAAGTAAAGAAGGTAATTTTTTCATTATTTTTGTCACGTGTACTTAGTCCCTCTGCCCTAAAAGAACCTAAATTTTTTATTTTTTTAATCTTTATTAAATTATAAGTATATTTGAAATACTCGTTTTTCGAGAGTTCATGGGATCTCTTGAATATGGATTCTAATCACATATTAGCGATTATTGGCATACGATTGCAGAAGTGGAGGAAGACAAAACAAACGCTTCAACGCCGGAAAGTTGGAAAACGGAATATATTGGAACTCATTGCACTATGGAAACTTCTAGTGAAGCGTGAAGAAGAACATAGTCAGAGAATATGGGTTCGCCCAATATTCACACAATTGCGAAGACATATGCAAGGAGCCAGTGACAATTTGGTCAAAGAAATGGAGCTACAAGATTTGGAAATGTTCTACAATTACTGTAGAATGTCTATAGAAATGTTTGATCAATTGCTGAATATTGTTGGGCCTCTCCTTGAAAAACAGACTGTTGTTCGAGATCCAATACCGGCTCGTGCACGGCTTCTAGTATGTTTGCGTTACTTAGCCTCCGGTGACAGTATGGCCTCAATATCTTATGCATTTAGGATTGGAATAAACACTGTTTCAAAAATAGTATCTGAGACATGCGAGGTATTGTGGAATTCTCTCCACGAATCTGTAATGCCACCGACAATCGTTGAGAGTTGGTTGATAATTGCGTATTCAGATCGGCAGAGTGCGAGTTTCCGCGGTCGGTCGATTTAGTCTGCCTACGACAACGATTCGAGCCGGTCGAAATTCATCGACTTTTCGCATTCGCATTTCGCTTATTCTCGCTCGTGTCGCGTACGCAGTAGGCTTACTCGTCTCATATTCGGTCCGAATTGTCTCGCATAATATCGCATTCATATTCTCGCGGCGAGCAATTTGGTCACATCTCAATTCGTGTTCTTTCATTATTTAGTGCTCAGATATTGTGAAAGTTAATTGTTTGGAGTTCGAGAGTCGACGCTCGTTATCCGCATCGCGAATGTCCTCTGCCTCGCGCTAAATTCCATCCAGCGTTCGCGGTCAAGATTTCCGTTTTCGCGAGAGTTTCTAGCAAGAAGCTCTTAATCAAGATTTCCGAACCGCGAAAAAAGGGCAGTCATTAACAGGACATTTTGAAGATTTCCGTCGGAATCGCGGAATACGTGCCGTCGCTCGCTCCTATTATTCAAAATAAAAGGAACATTACTAACAATCTGCACTCGATTCTTTTCTCAATCTCCTTATCCTCCAGCGGATCTACGGATTCGCGTTACACACCGCTTCTCGCTCATCTCTGAGCGTTTCTTAAGATTCGGGCGATCTCGTCGAGATCGACTCCCGAACATAAATTAAATAATATAATTATTTAACAGTCGAAAAGAACCCAAAGTTGTTGACAAAAAAGAAAATTTGAATGAACTGTTGATTAAAGCAGTTAGAAGCAAACGTGGGCTTTACGACTTTCGTGTACCTGCTTCGGAGAGAACCATGTTGCGCAAAAATGCATTATGGGTGGAAGTTTCAAACATATTAGGAGGTACATTTCATCATCTGTAGAAGGACCTTACTCTTATTTTGTCGTTTATAGTAAATGAGCTTTAAAATTAAATTATTTTTCAAGGATCCCTCAGTTCAGAAGAGGCTAAGGCTCGATGGAAATATCTACGAGACAACTACATAAAAGCCCGCAAAAAGGTTCGGGCGTACGTGCCCAGCGGATCGGCAGGTACTGCTGCTAATGTCATTACCGAGAATAAGTCAAGGTTTCAATATTATGAACTTATGAGATTCCTGAACGATTCATTGCAGACACGGCCGTAAGTTCTTACTCTTTAACATTCACATGTACATATATCACTCCTGTTGTTTGGTCAGAAATTGAAAAGAGTTTGTCACATGTGTAACCTATTCATTAATATATTCCAGGACAGTGAGTTCGTTGACAGATTCCAGTGCTAAAAGTGAAGTAGATACTTCACTTGACACAGGAAACGAGCAACACGAGGGTAATACCTTAGCTAAGCCTTCGACGACGCTTCAGATTTCGGCTATCAACAATTCTCCACAGACACCGGCATTTTCTTATATTCCTTCACGGACGTCGACACCCACAAATATTTCTTCACAGACGCTTGATTCCATCGACGTTCTTTCACGAACCCCATCACCCACGACAGATTTTTCATGGACATCAACTCAAAGAAGAGTACCTACACGGACACGAGCCACAGGATCGAAACGTTTGTTTATTTATATTTTCATCTGTTAGAGTTCCTTTTAACCCTTTTGTTTTAACAGCCGTCTCTGCCGCGAAATGCATTATACGATACGATCCGCGCGCATACTTCAAAGTTATTATGCCTAAATCATATTTGATTGTTTAATATATTGTTATTCTTTCTAATAAAAAAAAGAGCATCGAGCTTGAAGTAAATAAAAGATAAATAAGCTTTCTCAAGTGCTGCAATGCTGATAAGATGTATATTGTATGCTTATTATTTCAAAATGTGCGCGCTATGCGTCGGGCGACTGTAGTCGCCCGTAGTATAAGGAGGTCGCTTCGTAGCGGGCAACTATAGTAGGCCGTAGTAACGAAAGGGTTAATTACTGCGGGAATAACATTTTAATTTTTTTGTAGAATCGGCACAAAACTCCATCGACGATCACGAGCCGCCTGTTGTGAAAAGTAAGTATTTTTTATTTAAGATCCTTACATATTAATGTGCCGTAATGAAACATTTTCAATGTCAACATGTATGTTGATATATTTGCGTTCGTGTTTCAGAGAAAAAAATGATGCTGCCTTGCAAGCAGCTTTGATAGAAGCCTTGAGAGAGCCGGCAACGCAAGCGATTGATCCGCTGGACGGATTTCTTGTCCGCCTGGGAGAAGGCATGCGAAAACTGCCATATCGAGAAAGAGCTCGTCTAGAAATACAGTTTTTAACATCGCTAGCTGAAATGGAAGATCTTTGCTTCAATCGAGATTCCGACAGATCAACGTAATCGTTTAATTAGCTGAAAAGAAGACCAGCCAGCTATTCGAAAGGCAATGGTGTTTGAAGGCTGCTCGTTCCACATTATCACAGGTCCAACACTTTTGAATGATTTTTTTTCATCAGAAAGAGCCAAAGAATTCCGTGCAATATACGAGCGTACAATAATAAGTAATAATAACAATAAGAAAAGAAGAAGTAATAATAATAATAATAATAATACTTATAATAATGAAAAACCGTGATAAGATATTCAATACGATAAGATTTACTTTTGTAGTCTTCGTAGACTATGGGATGATGGTCATTTATACTAAGCATCATTATGCAGATGGAACATATGATGATGATTCCTTTATTTTCTAGTTTTTATGCTTTTCTGTGATACATGTCATTAATATCGAAAAGAAACAAATACTGAAGTGACCATACACCATTTTTATCATTTTCTTTAATTTCCGCACAATGGTTGCTTTTTTTCTTTAAAGAGTCATAAGACTGCATTACATAATCGTTCGAAACTCCAGTTTTGTTTTTAGTTTTGTATACTTTGATATTATATGTTTATTTTTTTATTCTACAGAAAGCATCTTTGGGACGTTATAAATACGATAAAACTTTAATGTTTTAATCTACTATAGAAAGTTTGTTTTTTCTTAAAGTGGACCAAAGATTCTAATTGTACGTCAACTTAAAATGTGATTTTGCTTGCAGACACATA